CAGCAGCACTAGCAGCACTGAGGCCGACACCACCGCCGCAGTGGGTGGCAGCAGCTCCAACCAGGGTACCAAAAAGTGGGAGCAGAGGCAGATGCACATCAAAACCCTGGAAGGTCAGTTCTCCGTCACCATGTGGGCCGATACCACCAGAGAGCATAAGGCAGTTGAAGAGCAGAGTGATAACTCATCTCCCGATTATTCTGAGTACATGACAGGGAAGAAACTTCCTCCTGAGGGAATACCTGGGGTTGACCTCTCAGATCCCAAACAGCTGGCAGAATTTACGAGAAGGAAGCCGAAAAAAACCAAAGAAGATGTTCCCAGAACAGTGGCTTGCCCTCATAAAGGCTGCGTGAAGATGTTCAGGGATAACTCTGCTATGAGAAAACATCTGCACATCCACGGCCCCAGAGTCCATGTCTGTGCAGAATGCGGCAAGGCGTTTGTTGAGAGCTCGAAGCTAAAACGCCATCAGCTGGTTCATACCGGAGAGAAGCCCTTTCAGTGCACCTTTGAAGGATGCGGAAAACGCTTTTCCCTGGATTTCAATTTGCGCACACATGTGAGAATCCACACCGGAGATAGGCCCTTTGTGTGCCCCTTCGATAACTGTTGTAAGACATTTGCTCAGTCAACTAATCTGAAATCGCATATCTTAACCCATGCTAAGAACAAAAACAGCCAGTGAAAAGAAGAAAGAAGAGCCTTTTCAAACTCTGAAAGTATCTTCCAGGAGTGTGGCTGGGAATTATATGCCTCTACTTTTTCTGTTGTTTCTAGGAAAAAGTTTTTAAAAATTAATCCTATATATCTAAGAGTCATGTTTTGATAGAGTAGTAAAAATAAATTTAAAAGTTTATTAAAAAGTAAATCTTTATTTAAGATAATATTGCTAAGATGCCTTGTTCTTTAATAGTGTTTTTGTAAACTTTGGTCCCAACAGGAGAATAATTTATGAACCGCATGTCAAAAGACAATTCTTTATATAGCTGTTTAAAAATGGGACTTTTCACATTCTTATGAAGTTTACTTATTGCTTACAATTTTTTAAAAGTTTGTATTTTCCAAATGTTCATGTTTATACTTTTAGGAATGTGCTTAGTAATTTTATTTATGATTTTTCTGGAAGCATATGACTTTGCTTGCAAAGATTTTCTTTAAAAGAATGAACAAATTATATTCATATAATATTGTCTTGCTAAAGAAGTTACATAGGTTTTGTTTGCTATCTTAATTTTGGTTGTATTTAATGTTAATACATTTTGCACAAGTATCTTTTAGCTGAATTGAATTGTGTAGTGTTGCATATTAAATGAGTTAATAGTATTTGTCAGTTTAAACATATTTTAGTCATTCAGTCATTTTATTTTCCCAAAAATATTACCAGATGCTGTTATTTAATGTAATGTCTTGGCCCTGCTCAGAGAAATGTTCAGTTGTAGAATATATTGTGTATATATTGACTTTTTAACAGCTGATATGTACATCTGGTGTAATAGGGAAAAAAAAATAAAATACCTGTTTTAAAGAAGGGAAAAAATGTAACTTGCTTATATAAATACAGTAGCTAGAAAATAAAAGTTGGGGGGTGGGTGTTATTGGCATCTGGTGGGTAATGACCAGAAATGCTGTTAAACATCCTACAATGCACAGGACAATTCCCCCAGAACAAAGAATTATCTGGCTGTAATGCCAGTAGTGCCACTGTTAAGCCCTGCTCTCAAAAAGCGAGAGTTGTAACAAAGGTTCCAGAGGTGTAACTAACCATTAGTGCAAAAGAGGTTGTTTAGATGGAGAAAATGTGTGTGCTCTACCACCCCCATTACCACTTGACCATCCATTATGGGTAAATCAAGCATCGAGGGGGTGGCCGGGTACCACCTACATGCCCAGGGTGTCAGGAAATCAGTGCTGCCCTGTGCCCCCACCTTTGTTCATTTCATGTCTTGTTTCTGAGACTAGCAACTGGTGCTGGGGTTGGTGGTGGCAGAGGGATTATTCTAAATTAGTTTCCCCAGAGTAAATTTTACTGCACCAACAAATTAGAGGTGTTTTGGTTTTGGTTTTTGGTTTGAATTTTGTTGCTGAAGCTATGAAAGCAATACGGTACTAGAAAACACAGTTGAGTTTTTAAAATAATCTTGAAAGACAATACAAAGGAGCCATTTGATCACACTGAAATTTAAAATAGCAAAACAGATTGGATAGTGGTGCAGGGGTAGAATATAATGCTCTGTGGGGCAGACCCATATGGAATGGTCCCTCGTTCAGATCCAGACTTCCCTGAGTATGCCAGGTACACTTGCACGCATGATCTGGGCTAGCAGTAACTGGGGGTGGATTTGTCAGGACCATGTTAGGATGTTCTCTCTCAGAATAAATAACTAAACTTTTTTTTAAAAAGTAAAATAAAATGGGGAATGGGCAGGTGGTGTGATTAAGGGTGCTGGACTCCCATATGCCCAACCACAGTTTGAATCCCTGACCTGGCAGCTTACTTTCTCAATTTCTCTGTCCCTCTCTTTTCTAAATAAATAAATAAATAACATTTAATTTAAAAATGCATTAAAAATGCAAAATTATAAACCAAGTCAAGCAACAAACTGGGAGGAGAAAACATAATACCTATTTTAAAGGACCAAATTCTTCAGTGTATATATTATAGCCAGTAGCATACACAAACCATTATTAAAAAATAAAAATTTAAAAAAATAACAACTCAGGTAAAAAACAAGCAAAGACATAAACAGCCAATGGATAGCAATAGGATAGAATACCTATCAAGACAATGGAACTTGAGGCCAGCAGGTGGTGTGGTGGTTAAGGCGCTGGCCAACTACAGTTTAAGTCCTGGACCTGGCAGCTTGCTTTTTCACTTTCTGTCTCTCTTGCTCTCTCTCATTCTGTCTCTCTCTTGTCAAATTAAATTAAATAATAAAATAATTCTTTTTTAAAAAAGACAATGGGACTTCACTGTTCACCTAGCAGATCGGCAGGCTGAAATTATAACTTCATGTTGCTTATGGGGGGAGCGGTGGATTTTGAAAGTATGAATTAATTGATACCAGAGGTCAATTTTTGTGTGAATACTAGAGGATACATGTGATCATCAGAGGAAGAGGAGAAAACATTCCCCATGAGGAATGGTCACACTGCAATCCCTTCTCCACTTCCCCCTCCTTTCAGGGTTATGGATAAGTCCGTGCACACACCTGACGTGCATGTTTCCCAAGCCACAAGGTCCAGGACTCAAGCTGCAGGGTTGGCCATGTGGAATCTGGCTGCCTTAACCACCAGGGAATGGAGCCAACCCAGAGATCAAGTTTTTAAAGATGTATTTATTTTTATTATTGTACTATATTTTAATTTGCTATAGGGCACATGCACTCACCAGAGAGAGAAAGAGAAAAGGCAAGCTGCCAGGTCCAGAACTTGAACCGTGAACCGCCGTGTGGTAGTCCCATCTCCTTAAGCACCATATCACCTACTGGCCCCTCAGAGATTAATTTTAATGCACATATCTTTTGACCATTTCTAGCTAATTTCTGTACCCTCTCAGGTATACACTTAATTAGATGCCTAATAATGTAAGCAAAGTTGTTTATTATATCATTGTATGAAAAGCTTAAAACAGTAGGGAAGTTTATAAGTAAATCAGTATGTTAAAAAGTAGATTACTTAAGATTAAGAAATAGGATAGAGGGCCACCTCCACAGGTGACTTGGAGGTTAAGGTGGCTGGATTTCACATGGCTAACTGCGCAGTTCAAGTCCCTGCACGGTTTGAGTCTCAGACCTCATGGCTTGAAAATCACAGTAGGTATATGTGTGTGCATGTCCAAAATCCTGAGAGGAGTATGAAGGAAAAGCAATTGCAAGATTGCAACATTGCCATCCCCACTGTAGGGAGCAGGGTGTGATTTCTCACTTTTCCTCATGCCCTAGATCTCTGTCTCTCCAGTGAGTGCATGTGCCCTATAACAAAATTATTATTATTATTATTAGTTTAATCAGACAGAGTGAGAGATAAAGTGAGAAAGCAAGCCCCCAGGTCTGGGACCTGAACCATGGTCAGCTATGTGGGAGTCCAGCACCCCTAACCATAAGTGAGAAATCACTACTCCCCCGAGGTGGCCATATCACAATCCCTTCTCCATCCCTGTAGCTCAGTGGTCAAATGCTGTGCATTGGGAGCCAGATCCCCCAGGACTCACTACTTCAATTCTTGGCCCTGGTGAGTTCTAAGTCACACCAGGCAGGTGTGTATGTGTGTGTGCCTAAAATCCTGATAGGATAGAGAAATGGTGGGAAAAGAATTGCAGTGTGATCATGCCCCATTGCATGATGTTTTCTCTCTGTTTCTCTCCAAGTGCACACGCCCGCTGGAAAAAATTTTTTTAAAGATATATCTGTATGTAATAGAAAAGATCACTTACCCAGCAAGTCCTGGAACAGACTTGCTCTGGATATTTCTGGAATTTAACAATACTTTTAAAATACTTTTTAAAAAGGAACACTTGGGACCAGCAGTTGGCTTACTGGCTATATTGCTGAACTCCCATGTAGTCGACGAGGTTCTAGTCCCAGACCTGGTGGGCTTAAACTCACGCCAGGCACATGTGCGTGCTTGCCCAAGATCCCAAAGAGGAGAATGGAGGAGAAGGGATTGCGGCATGGCTATCTCCCCTGGGGAGTGATTTCTCACTTCTCTCTCTCTCTCTCTGTTTATGTCCCTCTCTCTTTCTTGTTCTCTCTGAGCACGCACACTCTGTAGCAAAACAAACAAACAAAAAAATTCAAAAAGAGAGGGAAGATAGGATAGGATACTTCCTGAGCATTGTAAATGAATGTATTTAAATTTTGAATTGAAATATAAAATATATATGAATATATGTTTTTAGAAAGGGGATTAAATAATACCTACTTTTCTATCCCAAGAATAGAGTGCTTTTAAAAAATTCTCTATGCAGGACCAGCAGATGGCATAATGGTTATGTTACTGAACTCCCAGGTAGTCAACCGCAGTTCGAGTCCTAAACTCAGCAACTTAAAACTGATGCTGGATGCATATGCATGTGTGTGTGCCTAAGATCCCAAGAAGAGAATGGAGGATAAGGGATTGTGGTGTGGCCATCCCCCCTGGGGTTCATTTCTCACTTTCTGTCTCTGTCTGTTTAGAGAGAGAGCACATGTGCTCTATAGCAAAAATGTCTCTTAAAAAAAATTCTCTATGCTGTGGGACCAGCAGATGGCATAGTGGTTACATTGCTGGACTTCCACATGGCTGTCCGATTCCGGTGGCTTGAAACTCAAGCTGGGCTTGTGTGTATATGTGCCCAAGATCCAAGGAGGAGAACGGAGAATAAGGGATTGCAGTGTGGCCATCTCCCTGGGGGGTTGATTTATAGCTTTCTGTTTCTCTGTCTCTCTAGCAAGTGCATGTACCCTTAGCAAAAATCTCTCACAAAAAAAAAAAATTTTCTATGCTGGACCAACAGGTAGCATAGGGGTTAAGGCACTGAACTCCCACATGACTGACCATGGTTGCAGTCCTGGAACTGGCCGCTTGAAAATCACACTGGGTGCTTGTGTGTGCATGCTCAAAATCCCAGCAGAATGGAGGAGAGAGGATTTGCAGCATGGTTATCACCCCTGGGGAGAGATTCCTCACTTTCCGTCTTTCTCTCTGTCTCTCTGCAAGCACCCACATCCTATGCTAAAACACTTGTAAAATTCTCTATGCTTTGTTACTAAAAATTCCTTTAAATAGTGAAGACAAATTTTGCTCATTTTGGAGCCATCCGATGACCTGGTAGTTAGGGGCACTGGATCCCACATGGCCAACCATGGTTCGACCTGGTGGCTTAAAAAACATGCATGTAGGGACCAGCAGTTAGTGTAATGGCTGTGTCGCTGGACTCCCATGTAGCCGACCGTGGTTCGAGTCCTGGACCCGGTCAGTGGCTTAAACTCACACCGGGCACTTGTACATGTGTGCCCAAGATCCCAAGAGGAGAGTGGAGGAGAAGGGATTGCAGCGTGGCCATCCCCCCTGGGGGGTGATTTCTCGCTTTCTGTCTCTCTGTCTGTCTCTGTCTGTCTGGCAAGCGCACGTGCCCTATAGCAAAAACCTCTCTAAAAAAATGCATATATATGCATGCCCAGAATCCCAACAGGATGGAGAAATGAAAAGGGATTGTGGTATGACCTTCTCATTGGAGGAGGTGCTTTCTCTGTCTCTGTCTCTTTCTGGTGAGCATATGCACCTTCTGACAAAATTGTTTTTAAATGTGACCATTCTGGCTCTTTGCTTAAATTTCTTTAAATCCTTCTTATATATTGAAAACATGGTTGTTATTTATATAAATCAGTTGTAAGTTTATTTGAGGGTAAAGTAAAAACATTAGTTACTATAAAATTGATGCTGTGATTATAGTAAAGTGTAACCCTGTCAAAGTCATGGTTTACTTATTTTTTAAAAAAGAATTGTATTATTTGACTTTATTTATTTATTTATTTTGAATTTGACCAGAGAGGGACAGAGTGAGAGAGAGAGAAAGTGAAAAATCAAGCTGCCAGGTTTGGGACTCGAACCGCAATAGGCCATGCAGGAGTCCATCACCCCTAACTACCACACCAGCCCCCAAAGCCATGGTTTATATCCTATCATATATAACTACTGTGTGCAGTTCAAAGAATAATGTTATGAGTTGTTTTACCTATTAAGTCAAATGGTGACCTGAAAACCACTTCTGTGTGTCTAGAGAATTGAGGTAGTTGTGCTTGCTTTTGTAAAAATGTAAATTTTAAAATAATACTTCTTAAGACCACTTCCCCAACAAAAAGAGGAATTACATCTACAATATTAAGGGTGGGAAAATCTTCCTTTTCACAGTTTCAAAGATTAACTGACTATATGAATCAAAGATTTAAAGATTTGGGACCAGCAGTTAGTGTAATGACTATATCACTGGACGCCCATGTAGTCAACTGTGGTTCAAGTCCTGGACCCAGTGGCTTAAACTCATGCCGGGCACGTGTGCATGTGTGCCCAAGATCCCGAGAGGAGAATGAAGGAGAAGGGATTGCAGCATGGCCACCCCCCCTGAGAGGTGGTTTCTCGCTTTCTGTCTCTCTCTCTCTCTCTTTCAGGCGAGTGCACGCACCCTATAGCAAAAACCTCTCCAAAAAAAAAATTATAGATTTGACCATATAAGTTTTAGGGGTTTTTGTTTGTTTGTTTTTAAAAAGACTACCAGCCAGCAGGTGGCACGGTGGTTGGGGCACTGGACTCCTAGATGACCAACTATGGTTCAAGTCTTGGACCTGGCAGCTTGCTTTCTCACTTTCCCCCTCTCTCTGTCTCACTCTGGTCAAATTAAAAAATAATATGATAAATAAATAAAATATTAGATCATCAGAAAAGTCATGACACATTTTGCATAGAAAAACATAGGAAAATACGTCATGACTTTTCCAATGACCCAGTAATTCTAAAAAAAAAAACCAAAAAAGATAGTTCCTATCTGTTTGTTGCTTTAAGGTTCAGATTGTTACAGATCTGTAACTTGATGTAACTTATTTAATATATTTGAGGCTTCTTTTCAAAGATCACAAGTATGTTTAAATAAATGGTGTACATATTTTCTGAAATTGGTGTAGTTAATAGAAGATAATAGTTCTGTTTCAGTAAATCCTATTAGCATGTGGTCTTCATAATGTGGTATTAACACACTGATTTTAGATTTCAGCATCTGAAATGAAGGCAGCCGCTTACTGGATGTCTGTCCGCTGTAGTAATGGGCAGAGCTCTCTGCCTCACAGCTTCTTCTGATCACTTGATCCATTTACCAGAATACCTATGTGTTATGAAGCACAGCTACCTAGATCATTCCTGCCCCAGACTGAGCTCACTGCTTTTTTTTTCTCTTTTCAGGTATCTGGCATAATTTTGTCCTTGCAATCTTAGGTATTTTAGCGCTTGTTCTCCTCCCAGTAATTCTCTTGCCATTTTACTACACTGGAGTCGGAGTGCTTATCACTGAAGTCGCTGAGGTAAATAATGGATTACTTGGGGTGTTCTTTTACAAGCTGCTGCATTGTATTAAATGCTGTAATATTTAGCATTTAATGTCAGGAACTTTTATTCAAGTTCTCCTCATATACAGAATGCTCAATTTCTTCTGAAGAGATTACCGTCATCCTTTCAAATCTAACAAATAATGTCATGTAATACATTAGCTTTTTATTTTTTTTTTAATTTTTAAAAAAAATTTTTTGGAGAGGTTTTCACTATAGGGCGTGTGCGCTCTTCAGACAGACAGAGAGAGACATAGAGACAGCAAGCAAGAAATCACCCCCCAGGGGGGATGGTCACACCGCAATCCCTTCTCCTCCATTCTCCACTCGGGATCTTGGGCACTCACGCACACGTGCCTGGTGTGAGTGTAAGACACCGGGTCTGGGACGTGAATAACGGTCGATTACGTGGGAGTCCAGCGACATAGCCATTATACTAACTGCTGGTTCCCAATACATTAGCTTTTTAAAAACACTACGAAAATTATTTTTGATCTGAATTACAAAGATAGTATCAAGATTTTCTACCTATAATTTATTGATAAAATACATCGTTTACCTTTGCTGTTTATTTTTATATCTCTACTTTGAGTCAAATATCTTTAAGAAGAAAAATGAATCCTAGGCTATCCAGCTAAAACATTTCATAGGGCTTTAAGTTAACGTCTTCGACTCTATTTCACTTTCTTAGACAACAACTACTGTGGTGACATCAAATCTTCCATTCAGACACTGGAAAGAGGAAAATTACCTTTGTGAGCAATTGCCTTACATATTCATTATGCTGATAATACTGTCTGCATATTTGGGACTGTTTATATCAAGACTTGCCTTATCATTTAGTTCACTGAAGCTATAGGAAAGTGAAGGCAGTCTAACTGACTACTTTCACAAAAAAATTTAATTACCAATTTGGGGACAACTTTTATTTTTTTAATCTTAATAGTTGGCTAGTGGATTTTTTTCAAATTTGAAAAATTCAAAATCTTGGAGAATTGTGAAAAGCAACTATAATTATTGGTTTCTTTTGCTAATTTTCTTTTCTTTTTTTTTTAGAATTATTTATTTTTAATGTTATTCATTCATTCATTTTAATTTGACAAAAGAGAGGCAGAGAGAGAGAGAAGGAAAGTGAGAAAGCAAGCCACCAGGTCTGGTACTCAAACCATATTTAGCCATGTGGGAGTGTCCAGCACTTTACCAACATCACCTGCTGGTCCCGCTAATTTTCTGAACTATATGTTTTAGACCAAAGCTGGATTATTTTATGCATTATTCAAAATACTCTACTTAATGAACTCAGTGTCTTTATTGTTTACTCAGATTACTCATAGCTTGTCTTCCTTCATATATTACCTCATTTGGTTTTGCTGTTTTCCCAAGGACTCACCTGCCATTGGACCCAGAGGCCTTTTTGTGGGAGACCTTGTCACCCACCTACAGGACTGTCCTGTTACCAATGTACAAGACTGGAATGAATGTCTAGATACTATCGCCTATGAGCCCCAAATTGGCTATTGTATAAGTGCATCAACTTTACAGCAGTTAAGCTTCCCAGTTAGAGGTGTGTATATTTACCCAATATATTACTTCAAGCCCCACTGTCTGCTGTTCACTATTCTATAAATCATGTCTATAGTCTTATTTTGTTCTAATCTTTTTAAAGCAAATCAGTAAATAGGTTCAAACTAATAGATATTCTTCTTGGTGAGTTGTATACTAATATGCATTTTACCTTTATTATATATTATTATTGAACTTCTAACTATTTTCATAATATTGTATTTGACTTTCCAGACTCTAGTGTCTAATTCTTTCTGCGTTATAGGTTAAAGGACCAGTAAATGGCATAGTGGTTATGTCACTGGACTCCCACGTAGTCAACTGTGGTTCAAGTCCCAGACCCAGCAGCTTAAAACTCAGGCCAGGCGTATGTGTGTGCATGCCAAAGATCCCAAGAGGAGAGTGGAGGAGAAGGATTTTTTTTTTCTTTTTGGAAAGGTTTTTGTTATAGGGCATGTGTGCTTGCCAAAAAGACAGAGACAGAGAGACAGAAAGTGAGAAATGACCCCTCAAGGGAGATGACCATACTGCAATCCCTTCTCCTCCATTCTCCTCTCAGGATCTTGGGCACACATGCACACTCAATGCACCCCGCGTTTAAAACACTGGGTCTGGGACTTGAACCGCGGTTGACTACATGGGAGTCCAGCAACATAGCCATTATGCTACCTGCTGGTCCCTAGTTTTCTTGACATGTAAAAGAGAAGCAAGTACTTACCATCCATCGTACTCATCTCTCAGTTTATGTGAACAGGAATAAGAGGTTACATACGGAAACACTTTTGATGTTATCATAATTACTGACAAGGCTAGAGGATGCCTTGGGTTTGTGAAGACAGACTGGTAACAACACACATTAAAGGGGGGTGGGAGAGGGAGCAAGAGACAGACCAGTGAAGAGGCTAACATGAAGTCAGGCTTGCCTTACAAAATGGGGAAGTTCTCACATTCTGTCTCTCTTTCTCTCTCTGTCTCTGGCAAGTACATGAATCCTATAGTGAAAAAACTCTCTTTAAAAAAAATTGTTATATCAGCATTCAAGCTCAACCATAACCAATTAACTAAATTCCAGTAATTAAATAGTCTGCCAATAAAATGTTATCTTTATGCATGGATGTAGGTATATGCAGTCTTCAAAAAGTTCATGAAAAGTGAGTATTATGAAAAAATTATGTTGGGTTTCAGATAATTTTCTGCACCAAAATAAATTCATACTTTAATTCCATTTTTCAAAGTCAGGTGGTAGTGCTGTGGTAACTAATGCAACTTTATCCGCATGGAAAAGGTCCTAGGTTTGTGTCCCAGGACCTCCCTCAGAATGCTGGTCCCACATTCATGCTCTTGGACTAAGGCTGGCATTAGATCTTGGCAAGAAGACCCTGATTTGGTTGCCTTTCTCTCTGTCTCTGTCTCTCTCTTCCCCTCAAAGAAAATAAATGAATAAGCTTTTTTTAAAAGACAGTTCTACTGATGCTAATTACTAATAAATTTTAAAAAAACTTTAATTCCATTTTTCCATGAACAATACTGTCTTAATTTATACTTCTCTATTTAAAGACAGTAACAAGAAACAATTTTCCTTTGCATAAGCTTATGTCAGAAGAGATAAACAACTGATAGCTAATAACAAAATAGATAAAATCAAAGCATAAGCATTCTATATTAATACATTTTTAGCCCAATAAAGGCATGAAGTGAGGAAAGCTTAAAAGAAATAAAAGGAACTTGTCAATCAGGCATGAACCCTTCTTCTGGCTGAAATATACCTAAACTTAAACAGTTCCAGTGGTAGCTATGTGAATGGAGGTATGTCCAAAGCTATGTGGAGTAGAAATATTTTATGTATTTTATGTGGCAGACATCCAGAGAAAGTTATCTTTGCTTCCAAAAATACCTCATAAAGTCAGATACTTTGCTCTGTGCAACAGATGAGAGGGCTGAAGGAAGTTTCTTCTTAGAACCTATCAAAATTATTTTGAGACTTTTCAGCTCTACAAAATCAGCCCTCTCCAACTCTTTATACAAAATTGAGTGGCCCAAATTATTTAATTCATATTTAATATCAGAAAATATTAATTATGTTTACAGGCTTTATCTATAAGTTAAGAAATTCTCTGGTCCACATCTA